AATAAAGTCTTCATGAAGTCTCGCCTCGCTCAAGTATGTCAGATATTGTGTTGTACTGGAAGAGAAGTTTCAGTTTGATCAGCGGTATCAGCTTCAGAGCAACAACAAGGCAGGCTAAAGGGAACAAAAACACATCGTAGGATGCAATTAAATACATGAACGAGAAGAGAAGAGAGGAGAGGAGAGGAGAGGAGAGGAGAGTTAGATTAAAAGCAGTAACAGGTTGGCTCACTAACTCGACTGGTCCACATAGCTGACATTCCTGCTCACATACACACACACACTCTCTCTAGCTCTGTCTCACTCTCTCACTCATACATCCCCGGGGAGGGAGGCCAGAGAGCTGAGAGATTGAGCTGTGAGTCAGGTTTGAATTCACTAAGCCTGAGTTAGCCAGTCTCCTGGGTGTAGCTGCAGGTTAACAGAGCCACATACAGTACAGTACCTCTCTGTCTCATAGAGGCCTGTGAATCCTGGTTGTAAGCACTGTGGTAACTCTATGCTCCTTTTTCTGTGCATTAATGGTGAACATGGGGGTCTTTCCAATAAATGGTCCATTTATTATTCAGTAAGGAGAGACTGCAGTATTATACCCAGGGCTGGATTAACCTGTGATTTTTGCCTGGAGCAGAAATTACCTATAGGGTGCTGCTAGTCTGACTCGCTGGATGTAGGCTGTAGGTATAATCCTGCCATTAGCCACCTCTTCTCCTCCCTTTCCTGTTACCATTTTCAAAATCCCCTTCAATGAAAATGGCGAGTTTTGATCAATTTCTGGATTGTGTGCAGTTAGACAGTCTAGGTGTGGTCGAAGCTGTAAATCTGTTGTTGGTTTTAAAACAGAAAAAACATTTTGGTATCAGGTTTAAAAAAAAAAGAAAAACCAATCAAAATGGTCCGTTTTTGGTTTTTGGCAATTCCTTTTATCAATATATTGTTTTAAACCAAAAACCATATTCATATGCTTTTATTTGATTTTTGATTCTTAAACAAAATCAAAAAATTACCCTGGTTTACCTTGTGCCTGCTTAACCCTTTTATATCCTCTTGGCTTTTAATTCACAAAAACCAAAAATGGACCATTTTGATTGGTTTTCCATTTTTTGATTCAGACACCAACATTTTTTTTTTCTGTTTTGGTTCTAAAACAAATAACAGATTTAAGTTTTTTTTTGTGTTCAAATCACAAATGAATTGTTCAGTTATTCAATGATACCCAGATCGTCGACGTACATCTTTGCTTTTCTTTGTGGGGAATCAGCCATTTTAATAACAGCCTCCCAACCAAGATTAGTTCCCTTGTGAGATTATTTTGTAGGGGCACCATCACCCCATCCTGGGCTCAGCGCCCTGACTCCATCTCAGCCAGAGACTTTTCTCATGTCATCTCTCTCTCTGAACACATGGTTTCCTGTTTGTGTTCTCTCTACCCAAATAAGGTGAAAAAGTCAAAAAGGTCTCTTAAAAACATGTCTCTTATGAGTCTCCTGATGTTATGGAGCACTCTTTTAAGTACTTTTTTCAGTTACAGTGCACATGGCAGACTGCACATGTTAGCTTCATTATTTTTGTCTGAACTGCAACAGCGGGGCCAGCCTTAAAATCATGAATGTCCTTGACTGACTGACTGACTGAGTGATCATAGTTCCGTTGGAGTTTTCCCATTGGCCGTTGCTCTTTTAGAATGACTTGGTGAAAACAGGTTCTATTCAGGGGGTGTTTACAGCACCCCTTTTAAAATGGTGTCCTACGTTTCCTAACTGATCTTATGTATGTATGTATGTATGTATGTATGAGATATTTTTATTTTTATTCATTCAAATTTGTTTTTATGGTCTTTAATGCCATTTTAATGTTATCTTCATGTTCTATTTTTAATTTTTAATTTGATGTTTTCATTTTAATTAGAAATCTTAAAATTGCCTTATGTCTGAATGGTGCTATATAAATAACTTGCATTGCCTTGATGATGACAGTTGTGCTCCTCAATTTCACACACTGACCATACGTGGTCCAGACACATACTAGGTTTTGACCATAAACTGTAAATAGAGATGGCCTCTGTGACGTCACCCACAGGTTTTTGAAGAGCAGTTTTGAAGCTCAGAGTGAGATGTTCCACCATCGCCATCTTGGCAGTGCCTGACTAACAAACTGACAAAGTCTTTGTTACTCTGGATCATCCACAGAACACGCCACATTTTTTTTTCAGAGGGAAAAACCTTTAGAAAACCTTCTCTGGTGTATTTCTGCTCAGTCTGTTCTGAAAGGTGTTGTGGGTGTTCAGAGGATGATTTTCTAATCATTCCACTGACCCCCCAGCCTCACCATCAATTGGAAATATATAAAATATGAAGAGCTAACAGCAGATTCCCTAAAGTTGTAATTTTTAAGCACTTTTGCTACAGATGATGCTCCATCCTAAATATCATTTTTCATCTTAATCAGTATTCAAAACTGTAATGAGCAGCCACAAGTACAGTACAGAACATAATATAACAGGTCCAAATACCAGAAAGGTCCAAACAAGGAGATTCCAGCTGTCAGAGGAACCTTGAAGCATCACAGTAAAACACAAGTGACTCAATATTGCAACTGAATCATCACTGTCATCTCTAATTTTGGGCACATGCACTCCCACATACAAACACTAACACACAATGACTGTGAATGAGTAGTAAAAAGTTTTAGCTGCATGAGATGAACTGTCAGTCCATGTCCTCCCTTCTCCCTCTCTCCTCACATTCCTACATTCCATCATCACTGAGAGAGGAGGAGGAGGGTGAGAGAAGGAAGGTCAAAGAGGAGTGGAGGGAAGAGATGAAGGAGGGGAAGACTGTCAAGACAAGGAAAGGAGAGGGGAGAAAGGGAGAGGAGTGTGAAAGAAGGAAATTAGTTTTTGTTTATGATCTAATATTTCTCTCCTCTTTGGAATTCATTCTTATCTGGAAGCCTTACATGTTGTTGGTAATTACAGCCTCATGCCTAGGCATGTAGAGGACACACACACACACACACACACACACACACACACACACACACAAAAACCCACACACACACACACACAATTACACCGGTACCGGCTGGTACTGTAAATGATTACGATCGGGTTAGCACAGGGTTTAAATCTGAGGGAGGAGGAAACACTGAGCTGAAGAAAGACGAAAAAGGTGAAAAGCTCAAATAAAACACACGCAACTGAAACTGTGTTCATCCTCAAACCACGTCCACACATCAGTGATTCATCCTCTCATTGTGCAGATAACAGCAGTCTCACATGTTGTGATATCAGCAAGATGAACTCACTGATTCAAATGTTAAGCTGTGATAAATCAGATTTACAGAGAGAGCAGTGGAGCACTAGCCGTTGTCTGGAGCATGAAGATCATATTAGGGCCCCACAGGATGAAGGACATAGTGTGTACCTGTCCCAGCTGACAGGTGTGAATCTTTGTTATCACACTGACACGATCGGAGAGAACCACAGACAACAACATGAGCCACAGGTCATGTGTCAGAACCCTGCGTGTCCTCAGAAGACGTCAGACAGCAGCTCTCTTATAGCGTGGAGTAACATTAATGTAACTGTAGGCTGTGTGAGCTAAGCCCTGATCACAGTGGACTGGTATCAGCTGGGCTCCTGTGAATTACAGTGATTGTCTCTGGTCTTAATCCTGTGTGTATCAGCAGGATTGCTTGGTTTAATTCTGTGAAGTGTTAAGATCGCCGTGGTGATGATTCCTGCCGGTTGTTATCAGAAACAGCTCGACTACGGAGTGAAGCAGATGTTTGTTTCAGTCATCTCTGAAACAGTCATCATCACATTAGCTGAAGTCTCCTCCAGTGTTGCTAACTTAGCGCCTTTATCACTAAATTTCGCGACTTTTCAAAACCTTTAACAAGTTTTCTTCAAAAAAGCGTTGAGTGACAAATCTAGCGACTTTTTGACAAACCACTTTCCAGACAGCAACAGCAGAACAGCAGCTTGGAGTTGATTGTTGGTTAACATGTAGAAATGAGAACAGCTTTCTTGGAAATTCAGCTGTATTGAAATGCTGTATATGTGAGCACAGAGAGGAGGAGAGAAGCAAATGTTACAGGGCTAATTAGCGTATTACGTCATTCAGCAACATTTAGCGACTTTTCAAGCAGCTTTTGCTTCTTTCCATTGACAGTAGTTAGCAACACTGGTTTCGTCTGGGTAATTCAATATTAAAATCCATGGCAGTGCTCTGTTGTAACAAGGAAAACGTTTCAACAATTTTCCAAAAGCTTCTTCTTTTTTTGGTAATAAACTAAGTGACGAGTAGAGAACTCAATTCTAGGAGAAAAGGTGAAAATATAGGAGTTGGCAAATTTCTGTTTGTGGTTAAAGAATTTTGCATTTGGAATTATGAGGTTAAGTAGATATTCAAGATCATTTGGATGATCATAATAAAAAATAATATCTTGAAGGTTGAAGGCAGTTAGCAGCTTCAAAAGAGGTGAGACTCGAGATATATATTTCACACTCAAAAAATATGTGAGAAATTGTTTCTAAATCATATTTACAAAAGGTACAAGGGGAATGTCTGAAAATTAGGCAATATGAAAGCTATCAGGGTATATATTTTAAGATGAACTTCCTCAGCCTTGTTTGACATGTAGTAGCCTATTTAGGTTGTAAGGTAAAAAGCCAAGCCCTTCTCCAATTTACGTTTTCAATTTTAGATCTCCAGAAAAGCCTCTTGCCTCAAGGTACAGTTTTATTCTTTCTTCGAAAAAATTGGCAAATATGCTTATTATTACACTTCCTGTCTGTTACTTTAATCCCATCCAATATCAGTGTTATGACTGTACAGTAGTGGTGGTGTGCGGTGGTGCTGCTCCGGCGTCATGTCCCACCCCCTCCACTGTGTCCTCCAGTCTCGTCAGGCTGGAGGAGCAGGAGGAGGACGGGTTTCACTGGCACCTCACATCCCTTACTGGATTTACCGGACTCCACCTGTCGCGGACGCGGTGTTGTTTTGTATTCGCGTCGTAAGCGCGTGACAACACAGGACGGCACGAGACACACAAACACAGGCGCGAGCAGTGTTTTCGACGGAGAACGGAAAATTTAAACACAGCTCTCAGCACCTGTTTCTCTTTTTCCCGCGGACAGAGAAGGGAATACCGAGCATAATTCCGGTGGATGGTTTTATCCGCAGTGCCTCAGCCGAGCAGCCAACCGGGGAGCAGGATGTCCAGGCAGCAGCAGTACCGGACCCCGTTAAAACTCACCGAGAGCGTGGTGGAGGTCAAGAGCAAAGTGAGTGGTGGTGGGGTGATGGGGATGTGACCGTTCACGTTAGTGGTAATGAGGGGATACGGGGTCTTGTTCACCGGTGGCGACACCGACATAAACCCTCTGCTGTCGGTCAGATGACAGACGCGGTGTCGCTCCCTACGCACCGGCAGCTAGGCTACGTTTCACCGGTGATTCAGAGGATATGCTCCGTGGTTGTTGTTGCTGACAAGCGGCCTGGGTGCGTCTGCTGTAGCCGACCCCGTGAGTAGGAAACCAGACCCGAGCCTGCTCCTACTGTCGTCCCTTCAATTCCGCATTCATCCCGCCCCCCGTCTCCGTGTCTAACACCGACTCTGCTGTTAAACCTCCGCAGTCTGTGTATGTCAGTGCCTCTTTGTCTGTAGGTCCAGGTTCATCTCTTCGGGTTGTGTTACTGTAGGACTGCAGTGTGGCAGCCTGTCAGTGCAGCTGTGTCCATGTTAGCACCACATTATAGCCTCGCAGTTAAATACATGTAGTGCAGTAAACAGTGCAGTGCATGTCACTGAATGTGGCGGAGTAGAAGTACTTCAGTAGACTAGAAAAATGCTTTAGTACACTACTGGAGTAACTGCCTTCACTGATGTTACTGTGTATGATAGTGGAGGAAATAGAGCTAGCATTTGTAACTTTGAACAATAATCTACAACCATAACATTCAACTAACTTCAGAGGAGTTTTAATCTTCTTATGATATAAATGTATACACTTAAATCACTGCAGGAAAATAGAACATGCAATCAGTAACTGGGAATCTTTATTTGAATCTATTCTCAGTTTGTATATTAATTGTATTATCATGGGTTGATTGCTGCAGATAAAGTTGAGGCTTTGTGTCCATGTGTCATCTGTCATGTCCCCCTGTATATATTTATACTCTGGCCTGAGTCTGTGTAGTATGACAGAGGATTAGGGCCACATTGAGGGAAAAAAATCTTAAATTTCGAGAATAAAATCATAATATTACAAGAATAAAGTTGTAGTTTTACAACAATAAAGTTATAATATAATGAGAATAGTGATCATTTTAGGTTGCTTGTTGTTTTAGAGGGGAAATATCAGGAGCTTTAAAATGAGGAATGTGAAGCATCCTGTGAAGTTCTACTTTAGGTTTCACAAATAAGGAAATACTTTATCTTTTCGCTCATCAGCATCAGCATCAGCATCAGGACATTGTGAAGAAACTGAGTCTATTCTATTATTAGACAGACAAACAGCAGCTGCCAGAAGCAGCTCTGGCTGACACTGACTGTCCTTTCACCTGTTTGATTGGTTGATGTAATATTAAAAAAATTATGTTTTTTTTTCTCTCGACTTTTTAAATTTTTAATTCTCTTAATATTATGACTTTATTCTCATGTCATGACTTTCTTTAAAAAATATTATGACTTTATTCTCAAACTTTCAGATTCCTTTTTTTCCTCAATGTGGCCCTAATACTCTGTCATAATGTAGGGCACTCAGAGCAGCAACAACAGCAACAGGGGTTTCCTGCTCTGAATCAGATGGCCGTGGTACCATCCTGATCATGTTACACATGTGCATGTACAGCACCTTCAGCTGGCTCAAACTAACATTTTTTAAAAGCAGCGTATTTCAGGAGCTCTAGTGAATCCAGAGGAATTTCCAAATGGACAATTTTTCACAATTTCATGACATTTTACAGATTAAATTAGATAATTAATTGAAAAACAAACAAATGGACAGATCAACCAGGAGTGAAAATAATCTTGTCTTTCAGTTCTACAACAAACCTTTGCTGCCTCTGTGTCACATTGACAAACTCACTTTTAGGGTGTTTTTTAACACTTTGTCCCTGTCAGCACTCAAAAACAACACATCAGCATTTTTTGTAAACACTCTAACCCATCTGAAGTGAACTGAGACGACCTCTCAGTTCAGTTCACTTCAAGTCGCTTACCCTGTACATTGTGAGCACAAAGCTCCAGGTTCACTTCACCCTTTGAAATTGTATTTTAGTCCTGCTGTGGACAGATCATCTGCTGTTGCAGACATTCTAAAGAACAAATAGACTGAACTATGACCGCTGGTAACAACAGCAAGACTGCTGGATATACTGTACATAAACAGTTCTTTTTTAAGTTCCTCTACACATGTTTTAAACGCTGTAAAAATCCTCTACTATGATTCATATTTAGTTGAACATGGTTTTCACACATAAAAGCTGAAGCTCATCTTCTCTTACTTCCTGATTGAGAAACCTGGATCAGGCCTTGATCCCTGCCCACCACTTGCTGTCTCCAGGTGGACAGGTGAAGGAGCAGAGAGTATCAAGATGGTTAGAGGAGGAAACATCAGAGAGACTCAGCCACATGTTTGAGCCTCAGTCAGACCCAGACTCAGAGGAGGAGTCTGTTGAGACCAGAACCAGAGACTAGCAGACGGATCAGAATGGTTAGTGCAGTTAGCATCTTTTATTTGTTTATGTTGTTTGTTAGCTTGTAACTGGCAGTGGCTGACACAGTGTTAGTGGTTGTGCTAATGCTAACTCTCTCTCTCTCTGTGCTGACAAGGTTTCAGGTTTATTTAGCCCCACCCCCCGTCCCTACAAGTTGACAGGATTGGTTCCCTAGGTTTGTGACGCTTTTGAGCTTTCAGTCCTTTACTGCTGAGGATTATGGGTAGGCTCTTTGCAGTCTGTGCATTCAACAGACAATTACTAATAAAGACTCAGTTGGCAGTTTATCAGGAACACCTAGCTAAAACTGATGCAGTCTAATACCACAGTTCTGTGATTTTAATATTATTAATTGTTGTAGAGAAGTGTTGATTCAATCATGTGATCATTGTGGAGGACGTAGTGTGTGGAGCTGTTGAGCTGTGTTACATTATACAGAGAGGTGTTTCTGTTGTTAAGCCTACCTTCTATAAATGGGACAAAATAATAGAAACACCAGGAAACAGCTACATAAATCAAACAGCTGTTGCTTCTTATAGAAATCAACAGCAGAATAAAAAGCAGCAGAAAAAGCAGCGATGTATAAACAACATAAACTCCACAGCGGCTACAGCCGACTCAACTACTCAACAACCAACTCAGGCCAAATTATATATTGCTAGGCAATGCAGTAGTTGTTGCTGATTGGACTCTTCATTTGTTCATCATAACTTCATCATCTGACTTTGTTTTTACTCAGTAACAATCTAGACTTTAAATGAAGCAAAGTAAAATAGTTGAGTTAAGAAATATTAATATTTTAAAAATAAAAACCACGTTACAGCTGCAGCACATATTTAAACTAGAGCTGGTAACAGGGTGGCAGTCCCTCCTGACCCCCTGACTCCTTCTCTTTCAGAGACATCACAGGTTAGTTTCAGACAAATGTGATGAAGGTCTGTGTTTACATACAGCTGTTTAATCCTCTACAGCAACGCTATGGCAGTTTTTAGAAATCTTTTGAATTAAAAGAAGACAAAACACAAACGACTTCATTAATTTGACAACACGTGCTGCAAATACTCACAACACAATGGCAGTGTTTCCGGGGACACTAAACAGTGATGAACCCAGCTGGGACGCACTTGTTTTTTAACTTCAAAAGTCACAATTGGACATTGAACAAGTACATCACAGCCAGGTTCATCACTTTTTTTCTTTTTAAGTTATATTTGCTTTAATTCCGATAACGACAGTAAGACTTCCGTTTTGTTGTGAGTATTTGCAGCCCACCTATCGTCAAATTGATGGAGATGTTTTCTGAATTTGTTTGTGTTTTGTCTGTTTCCATGTGTTTTCTTAAGTTGCATTGCAGGGCCACCGTATGCCCAGGTATATTATTATATTAATGTAAGCCTATATTTGCTGGCTAGTTTTGACATTTTAGTTGCATGTTCTTTAATCTGTCAGAACGATGTTATTTGCGATTCATTAACTATTCTCTACTTGCTCCCCTGTACCTCTTTGTTCTGCTAACTCGCAAAGACAAACAGAAAGAGAGAAAGAGTGAGACCCATTGAATTATGTTAGAAGACGTGGACACGGTGGATATTGAATGGATAAGTCCATTTCGATTCCAGTCCATGGTGAGTGAACCTGCTGCAGGTAATGAGACAGCTGAGGGAGAGGCAGAAGCAGCAGGTCCCAGTGTGGTAAGAGGTAATATGTCACTGAGGAATATGAAATAAGTCACTACCACAAGAATATTTCAGATCTGTGGGAAACACTGATGTGCCAATACACAGTCACTTCTTTGACGTTCTGTCTGTTATTGTCTCTCTTAGATGATTGTCTGAACTGACCTGCTAATGTTTGTCTCTGCTTTTCTCTCTCTTTCTGTCTCACGCTGTCTCTTTCATGTCATGTTAGTCACTTGACGGTTCTGCTTCTTTATCAGAAACAGTGTTGACAAAGTGAAATCCCTGTATTTTGCCAACTCACAGTCTGAACTCTGTCTCTTACACAGCTGATCCCCAGATAAGTTTTTATATACACACTCTCAGTATCTGTAAGCAGAGCAGTGCTGCAGCTGTACCAGGCTCAGGAGGACAGAATACAGTCAGAATACACACACTGTTTGATCAGGTTTATATCCGCCAATACTGATCCATTAAAATATCCCCTGATGGATCAGACATCATGAGAACATCTCTGCTGATGTTATTCTATGTTGTGAATTTGACTGGTGAGATTTAGAACAAACAGCATCACTTACATATATGTTTACATTAATATGTAAAATAACATAGAACAGATACACTAATACTAGAACATGATGTTATACAAACAACTTCAAGCCCACTAAGGGCAGTGGAAAACACTGCAGGAAGCTGTGTGTATGTTTTATATTAAATATATAATTATATTATTGTTATAATCATTCCATTTTTACTAATAGTGCAAAAATCATGTGTTCCATGCTCATTCCTCATTGTGTGGTGTCGTGTGTTAGTCTATGTGTGTTGGTGTTTATGAAGATGGTGTGTTAAACTGTCATCAGTTTCATGGTTCATCAGTAAATTATTTGTACTTGTATTGTAAGTAATATAACAAAGTGTCAATGTGGAGCAAATTCACTGAGGCTTTTATAACATGTTCTGCCTCAGACACAGACAGACTTCATATACTCACATATATTTATATAAATATGTTTACACAATTTGCACACAAATAGAGCAGTAATTATCAATAATTATCAATGATTCATCTTTATAACAGCAGAGCTGATGAATAATGTGTGAACAACACAAGTGTGAAATCACTGCAGGCTGTATTTAGCTCAGAGTTGTAGTGAGACATCAGTTGCTCCGTCAGTATCTCCACCTGCACCAGCTGCTGCAGCCTCCCTGTCTGTCTGGCTCAGGTTTATTTGTGAGTCTTTTTCAGACCCGTAAACTGTAATATTTTCATTCAAGAGTAATCCTGTTTCTCAGGTGGCTGAAGGAAATATTTTGGAAAAGAGAAAAACAGTGGCAGCACACGACTCCAAATTTTGAGTAGGAAACTGCATCAGGTGCACGGTCGTAGTAGAATCAACAAGGTAAAGGAAATGCCAACACTCTCATTTGAATAGTCTTGATATTTAATTTGGGGCAGACAACAAACACGTTTTAGGTATAGGCATCATCACCGTAAGAAACAAGAGAAAAAAAAGACTATATATATATATATACATAATGTTTTTTTCTCCTGTTCCTCACCCTCTCACTGCTGCACAATAAGAAACAGTGAGCACAACTTACAATAAAAACCATACAATATCCAAGAAGCATACACAATGTTTCAAATTGCATACACAGAGAAAAGACAACACTAGAGAATATCCATGCCCAGGGATGTCCCAAAACACAAGATGTGTACAGATGGCTCAAAACTCTTCAGTATATATATAATTGTCTGTTTTACCACTGTTTGTTACGCTGATGATACTTATAGCTGAAACGTGTTCGTTGTTTGCTCCATATTAGATATGAAGACTATTCTAGTGCGAGTGCTGCTCCTTTACCATGTTGGAAACATTAGAGCCGCACCATCGTCCTGCTCAATCTAAGTTTATCTGTGGCAACAGTTTTTACCACATTGTTTTTCCACAACTTCCTGAAGTGTAAGGACAGTGCCTGTCATGTGACTGTTTACATTTTAATGTTAATAAAGAATTGACCAGCAGCCAATCACAGTGGTGATTCATATCCACAATAAGCTGATTGGTGGATTTCATCATAATCTGAATTACACAGGTTGCTGCTGATCCATTGTAGCATGGCTCCATTTACTCTGCACAGTGACGCAGACCAACACTGAGTTTAGGCAACAGTCTTGATAATCCATTTACATCATTACATAACCCTGCAATAAACCATTTAGCTCTAGTATCCCCAGTGTTTAATTACTGGTGTGCACTGTAGTATATCTCTTACACCCTGCTTTTACCAGCAGCTCTCAGTGACTCAAACCTGTAACCCTGCTACACTCACAGTGTAGCTGTGGAGCAAATGATCATGTGTCAAGAGGAAATACTTTTAAAATGTTAGAAATGAGGGCTGTGGCAGCAGCATGCTTCAGGCCCTGGTGTCACTGTGTGTGAGCAGGTTCACTTACTTCCTGTTTCACTGAAAACCTCCTGGAAAATGTTGAAGCTCACCACAGTGAGTACGGCATGGTGGTAAAAACATAAAAAGTACAGTAGGTAGAATCAGTGCTTTGTAAGACATTTGCATAGTTACAGCCACCTGGATGTTATCTTCCATCTGCTAATGGAGGCTGACTGACCTCAGTGAAATTATAGAGGAGGAAATAAAACTCTTTAATAGACTAATCATGTATTTATCTCCCAGTGAAGATGTTTCATGGTGTGAAGACGTCTCCTCTGTGGGAATGTGAGGCTCAACAGCCTCTGAAACTCCATGCTTCAGTAAAGCACGCACTTTTCTTTTTCTTAAAAGACAAACATGTTCTTGCATAAGCTCAGCAGCTTGATACACATGATAATCTGTTATTGACTCTGAGTAGACAGAAGAGTCCTGGTGCAGGAACTAAACCAGAGCAGCTTGTCGAAAAGTGTCAAGTACTGAAAGCATCAGATATCTGCCGAGAGCCGTGATCTCATTCACTGGTTCTTTCATCTCATGGTTTTCATGGATTTTATTCAAATTTAGCACAAATAAGTCACTTGGACTCAAGGACAAACTGATTAGAATTTGGTGGTTAAAGGTCAAATGTCCGTGTGACATACATGACAACCATGTTTTTGGCTATAACTCAAAAATTCATACACTAATTATGACAATTTAGCTCCAATGTCTATAAGGATAAAGTGAAGTGATGACATTATATATCCAAAAGGTCAAAGGTCGACTTCACTGTGACATCATAATGTTCTGTAAAAACACTTCTGGCATTGAAACAACAAAAATGTATGACTTCAACTTTCTTTTTTTTTGTTCTTCATTCTTTGTGTAACAAAAACAAGTGCGACACAAAAGGAACATATAATTGACAGACATGTAAATGAAAAGAATAGGATGTGTATGGTATGTGTCCATCATTTAATTTAATTTACAACATTCATGTTGTAAATTAAATGTTTAAAATTGAATAGAAATATAATCACATGGAGAATGTAATAAAATAAAATAATTGAAATAATAATAATAATTTATATGATATCCTGTCAATTTAATAAAAAAATTGCTAATACGATGTTATAAAATGTAATAAGATATAATATAAAATAGTGTAGAATAAAATGATCATAGTGTGGTGGTGTAATGACAGAATAGTATGTATTATTTACATAATATAAAATTCTAAACACGTTATAATACTTTAATTTACATTATTATATTACATAACAATATAATGTATCAACATGAAGTAGTCATTTTGAACCATTTTGAATGACTTCAACTTTCAAGTTGTCCCAGTGTGACCATAAACCAGCAGGACACCACCTATTTGAGTGACAGGCATGTTCATATTCATACATTTCCCCATCATCATAACTTGATGAGCTCTCACCTTCACATGTCTGGAGAGGTGGAGGTGAGAAAACAGGGAGATAATCTACAAAGAGGAACTTCCTGTTCTATAACAGATCATGTGGAGACAGAGTACATCACATTACTGCCATGTCACATGACTGTATGTCTCTGTATGTTAGTGGTGGCAGCAGCCCTCAGCTGATGATTGTGTTGTTCATCTCCTGCAGTTTGAGGCAGAGTACCGTCGCTTCGCCTTGAAGAGGAATGGCCCCGGTGGCTTCCAGGAGTTCTACCGCCTCCTCCAGACCATCCACCACATCCCCGGCATCGACGTGCTGCTGGGATACGCCGATGTCCATGGAGACCTCCTTCCAATCAACAATGACGACAACTTCCACAAAGCCGTGTCGTCGGCCAATCCACTGCTCCGCATTATCATCACCAAGAAAGGTAAGAGGAAACGGGACTGACTGAGCGACATTCTGAAGCCCTGCAACTAACTCTGTTCACCACTAACACGTATGACATGAAAACAGAGCCTGTTTACTGTCCTTGTTTCTGCTGGTGTGTGTGTGTGTGTGTGTGTGTGTGTGTGTGTGTGTGTGTGTGTGAGCCAGAGGCTGTGCACAGCTGCAGGGAGGCTGTTTGTTCTCCACATCAAACATGGTTTATTCTTCATACACAGCAGCACCTGATGATGCTCTCCCTGCTGTGTTCACACAGTTCTCTCTTGGTGGAGTGTGTGGATATTTTGTTCTGTCTCCTTCATTAGAGAGAGAGGAAACACACACACTGTCACTTGCACAGACCTGGATGACGTCAGGATTTTACTCTTGAGTTCAGAAACAGCAACACAGTCTTAACTAAAGGTCCACTTATTCACTTGAACCAAGGCTTTTGAACATATTACATGGTCTTCATCACAGAACTGTAGATGCTGAGACTTCCTTTTAAACATTTTTCTTTCTTGGCAACTGTCCAAGAGTTCCAGAGTTTTGTTAAGGTATGTGACAGGACACACAGAAACCAGTGGATTGATTGTAGTAACAGAAAATCAACCACACTGTGTTTTCTTCCACAGTGGGCTGTGCTGGTTGACAGTGTGGGTTCATGGTGCAATACTTTATCATCACTTCAAGAAAAATCTTTTGTTCGTTTTACATTCATGTTAAAGTATACTGTATATGACACACAGTAATCTATCTATAACAGAAACCTGTGTACTTGAATAGAGGATACATGTGATGTTTTATGGTGGTCCATGGTTACAGAACAGTTCAGGGGCCATGATGAATATATGATACATACACACAGAAACCATGTGCACACCATTTCCCACTCAGAAATTGTTATTTATAAACACAGACTGTATCACCTCACACATTTTTGGATTAGCTGGGAGTTAGGGGCGGAGTCAGACACTGCCAAGATGGCTATTAAAATATGAAATTAAGAAAATGCTTTATTACTTCCTGGTCCTCCATAGGCACAGAGGTTAATGATGTTTTGATGCATAGATCTACACACACACACACACACACACACACACACACATTTTCTATAGCGAGGAATGTATATATAAAAAAAAAAAGAAAGCTGAATTGGAACAGATTGTATCATCACCATGATATCATGTGTTGATGTAGCCTGAGCCTCCTCAGACCAGGAGAGATCACACTGCTGCATGAATCCTGTTCGAGTCTCCACAGTCACGTGGAGATGGTGAATAAACAGGGCTGCACTTGAAAAAAAATAAAGTGATTGAGTGAGTAGATTCCTGGCTGAGCCAACTCATGGCCCAATCCTTTCTAATGAGGGGCAGGCGAGCTTCTCAAGTACAGTGGAGATTAAATTACGACATTATTCCTGATGCAGTGTGGGTTTTAGTATGTTAGAGATTTTACTTCTGAATAAGATCAAATCAAGCTCCTGCTAGACAGCGTGTTAAACACAGGTGTACAGTATATGTTGATTTTATCTTGCTTATCCTGTATTTTCCTGTCCCAGCATCCCTTCCTCTCTTCTCTCCCCTTCCTTTCTTCTCTCTCTCTTTCCACTGTCCCCTCTCCTCTCTCTCCTTCCTCTCCTTCCTCTCTTCTCTCTCCCAGACCACTCAGTTAATCTGATTAAACTAGCATCTGTCTGTGATTCTGAACAACAATTGTGGCTTGCTAAGCACTAGATAAGCGTCATTACATCATGAATTATGCAGAGACACAGCAAGAGAAGGTGCTCTGGGACACAACAATGCAGTAGTGTTGTATACAATAATGAGTCCCATAATCCATAATGGAGGAACTAAGCATGCAGAGAGATGGATGGATGGATGGATGTACACAGGATGGAAGACAGGAAGAGGAGTTTATTTTGTTTCTGAAACATCCCTCATGTGCCACAGAACTCATTAATATTCTTTATAAATTTTTTGCACCAACTCACAGAGCCAGCTAACATTAGCCTTTAGCAGTAAAATACATTCATTTTTCATATTGTACAGTTGTAAATCATCTCAAAAGACATGATTCACATATTATGAAATGATACAGCACATTCAGTCAGTGGTCTCCAACTCCTTTAATACCAGACCGCAAAGCATGATGATACCAGACCACAAAGAAACAACGATGTTGATGTAATCCATCATGTAAATATGTTGATTTGCATGGAAAGCGTTGATGTGTCACACGGTTTATATTCATCCCCGCTCATCATGGTGTCTCACACACCTGGACATGTTGAAAATGAGACTTTATGCCCAACCTGTCAAACCTGGTGCTCTGCACAGTTTGTAAAAATTTGAATGGGCGACCACAGCAGCACAACGGCTGTGAATGAGCATCTCAAAATAAAACATCCTGGCGCTGTCTGATATCGAAACGATGAGACAGCAGCGTGAGTATTTATTACACTGAGTTCTCTCCAGAGGTGCAGTGCTATTTGATCAGATGTTAGACTGACTTTATGAGCAGTTTGATCATGTTGATAATATGACGCAGCATCAGACGAACATCCAGCTCAGTAATATTAGACCATACCTTGGATGTAGCAGGTCGTAGTTAGCGTAGCATTAAGCAGCAGGTGAATCAACACAAGTAGTTTGTGTTTTCACTGATTTCATTTACTGACTTGTGTCGAGCAAGTGAAGCCACATTGGAAACATCCATTCAAAGGAAAAGCTGCAATGCAGGCAGAGATCAAGCTAAGCTAACAGAGTAGGCTGTTAAAATGTAGCTAAGCTAGCTTTCATTTCCAGGAGCACCAGCTGTCCCAGTGTAACAGACTGACTCGGTCATGCGTGTTTACTAATGAACCATATAATTCACTGATCAGCTCAGAGGCTACCAGCAGCTACCAAACACTTTTAAGGTGGAATGTTTTCTTGAATGTTGCTCAATGCATGACTGACATTTGGAAATCAGTTGATACACCTTAAATATCAATATGACATCTTCATTTGTTTTTATTAGCTCTCTTGCATGACAAACAATTTAGTGATGATCCAATCTTCAAGTGTTTAAAACTTTTTAAATTTCAACTGGATTCTGTGACCTGCGGATATTTTACTTCATCACTTAGTGGAGTATCGTTCCAGTGGCTCTAGCAGCTCTACACCTGTATGGTTCTGTCTGAGAATTGTTTGGTATCAGCTACTGTGGCAACACCACTCTCCACTCATTAGTGGTAAGCAATTGCACATATAGACCTATGAAACTAAATGACGAAGATTTCCATTAACGTTAAGTTTTCATAGAAGGAAAGAGGCTGTTATCTGCTGCAGTAGTAGCTGATACTCATTGTCAAATCACTTTCACTATACAAAAGTAAAATGACATTATAACAACCCTCGTAATGAGCCAAATTATCTTTACCTGTTCATCTTAAACTGAGACTGCCTGGACCCACACCATCCTCTCTGTTGTTTCATTTATTACAAGACTGGTCAGAAGTTTCATAATGGTTTATGTTTCTACAGCTACACTACAGTTGGTGTTGAGGGCAGGGTTAATGAAGGTCACAGAGCAATGAACAAATATGTGCTGAAAGCTCTACAACCCTTCAGCACAGCAGAACATTCATGGTTCAGGTTTGTTAGTGAATAACTCTAGTTTACTGTAACTGTAGTAATTGATCCATTATTTACCATTGAAATGAGCAGTTGTGTCATTAATGTGATTAGGAGAATATCAAACTATATCTTTTGTTAAACAAAACGGGTAAAATGGACTGAGAGAGAGACAGAGAGAGAGAGAGAGAGAGAGAGAGAGAGAGAGAGAGAGAGAAAGAGAGAAAGTGAAAGTGATAGCGGCCCATCTGGTGTTGTGAGCCATTTGCTACTGAGTGGGATTATCTTACTCTAAAAGACTTCATCAATCATACCAGCTCCACTCACTGCCTCTCTGTGTGTGTGTGCGTGTGTGCGTGCGTGCATGTCCATGCATGCGTGTGTGCCTGTCAGTCAGTGTGTGTGTGTGTGTCTGTCAATGTGTGTTTCTGTCAATATATGTGTGAGTGAGAGAGAGAGAGATTGTTTGGTTGTGTTTCTAAACATCACAGAGATCAAAGAAGTTAACGAGCATGTTCATCAGCTTTGTGTAGCTGGTTGCCATGGTGATGCTGTCAGTGTCCCTTCCTCTGACACCGACCTTAGTGAGAGTTTAGATCAGTGCACCTCTCAAACACCTTCAGTGCTACAAGAGCTTCCTGCACATGCCTGTGTGGTTTTCATGTTACTAGAGTCAAAAATGTGGAAAATAGAGCGAGTTTAAGAAAATAGGTTACTTACGGCCGACAGTTCAAAAACTGTACGTCCTGTTGTTTCAGGAGTCAGACTGTGTATAGAGCACAAATATATCTACCATGTCATGTAGAAACTGTCTGTGACAAGTGAAAGAACTGAAGAACAACAAGTTTAGAAAAGATTTTATGAAAGCAGAACAGCTGAGGGTGACGTCACTGTGTGTCAAAAAATCCTTAAACTGTGATAAATCAAAAACTTTTTTTTTTTAAAGATGAAATGAAGTCTCGAGATGAAAGTATGCAGAAGTAGTTGAATTTCAGAGGAGAAGGTTTTTGATGATTTGAACATTCAGTCTGTTCATTTGAATGGCAAAAACTTTTCCAGAAAAAGCTGAACATTTAAAAATAATTATAAATAGTAGAAAAAATGATGAACATTTTGATAATTGAATGGTTTCTGTGGCTGAAAGTGTGTAGAAGTAGTTAGTGCAAAAGGTACGGAAGAAAGAGAAATAAAAAGATTTTGATGATAATAGTTTGAAAGCGGAATCAGAATTCACACATAATAATAATGTAGAGTTTTTGAACCTGAGAAGAACATATAGTAATCAATAAATCTTTTACTTATGGTACCAGAACTACAGTGGTAGCCGTGGTGACAACCTGCAGAACTACAGTGGCAGCTGTAGTAACAGTTCTTCTGCAGAACTACA